GCTGGTCTTATCTTTTAAGTAGTCCCGACACTCCAGTACAGTACATCCCAAGCACACAATGACATTCAAGTAAAAACAAAGTACACTTCCTAACCCCGGCTTTCCTTTTACTTTTTTTATGCCAAACAGCATCGCTGAGACTTACATCACTTGAGGGTATTCAGACATAGCACAGAAAGGAACTGCCTTCCCACTTATTTCTATCAAATGTAACATTCCCAGAATAAATCCAGACACCTTCAGCCAGTGAGCTATGAGGTGGCAAAGGCCTCAGCATACTGACTCCCCCTCACTTGCCAATTTTACGCTCCTCTTTGAGCTGCCATGAGCTTTCAATGGAAACCGTCAACACCCTTAAAATAAGCACACTGCTGCTGGACTGCACTTGTGTACCGACGTGTATACGCTCATAGGCTCGGTACAAACACGAGAAGAAAAACCTTTCAATGCAAATTCAGGGAAGCGAAGCCAGGATATTTCTGCCAGTCTTTTCTAGCTGCAGCTGCGCGCACACATAGACGAGCCGAAAAAACAGTCAAAACCATCTGATAAACTGACCGCGCAACGTGTTAAATAAGACATAATGCTCTTTTAGAAACTGTGCGCCGAGTATTAAAGCCACAGCAGACGGGGATGTGCTGCACTATCTTTGATTGGAAGGAAATGTGACACTTAGGGGCTGTCTGAGCTACAGCTGAGGCTCACTGCAGCTCACTGTGGACTGTGAAAGCCAGGAGGATCTTCTGTTCTGGCGCAGGTGCTTCCCAAGTTGCCCTGAATATGCATTAATGGAAAGTAGGAAGTTCTCTTCTAAAGCCCGTGTTTAAAAACTAAATAAATACTGCGTGAAACACATTTTCACAGCATCTAGTCGGTACAGGAAATAGTGAATTACGCTGAGTCTCTGCTCTTTCTTCTGACATGATTTCCCCTTCGTGAATCTCAGTCTCAGAGTGTGATGTACTGATGACATCACACTCTGACAGTGCAGTTCGGGCTTTGATCTGTGATCTCATCACCTGCTAAACAAGATCTGCAGGCTTAAGAACAAAGACAGACAAAAATGAAACTTTTGTAGTACTGGCAGAGCTCTGCTCCAAGGGAAAAGATATCAAATAACATTCAGGGCAAAGGCATAACAGCTCACGGACCTCTTTGAATTAATAAGACCACTAGGTTTATAAAGCAGCATCAGAGGGATTACCTAAAAAAAATGTGAGTTTGTAAGACTGCCAGTCACCTTATCATGAACGTTTCCCACCTTTTCCCAAATGTAGCCTTGCTGCATCTGTGGATCTGCAGGAATATTCACACATCCAAGGAGGCACTGAAGCATTGTTCAACAGAAGTCAGACTTCATCTGTTGCACAACAACAAAGCACTTGTTGTTCTATTTAATATCTGATGTACCGGCCAACTTTATTGTGGCATATTCAGTGAAGTGAAAAGTGACAACATTTCATGTTTACTCCAGCTACTAATGGATTAGGTCAGGCAATGCTTGACTTTGAAAGCACACGGCGTGCTCTGGTCAACTACGCTGCTCTGCAGATGCTATCGTGAGATGATGTAATAGGAGACGCTGACAATATTCATTATTCTTGTATTGCTGTATTATTTTTCACATTTAATTAAGCGGCAATAAAAGATTAGCCTCCCCATATCTGGTCAGAAAAAACAGGGGAAACAGTTTGACAGGGTTATTAAATAAATTAGTTGCAAGTAATTACTGAAGTCAGTGCGATTCTACTTAAAGCTTTGACAGGTTTATGTGAGGTGGTCACTAGGAACATCAGCGGGCTGCGCCCTTCCAAACAACACGACTTCCGTCAACTACCGTGATTATTCCAATCCCCTCGGGTTTGGCATCCGCGGTGTGAACAACTGGTGTTAGGCTAACTGCCATGACAACATCAATTGCAAATCATAAATTAAAATTAAATCCTTTTCTCTAAGAGACATTGAGCCGCACCACCTACATAGCAAGCTGACACATTTCACCATTTTCGGTGAATCATCGACAAAGACAAATGGATCTTCTCATCAATTTGAATCTGAACAATGCGAGAGGCAAAAGCAAAATGATAATATTCATACAGATCAGTCTGATTTTCAGCATCAGGGAACATCTGGCTGTTTTCCCCTAACAATGGTCGTGTCTGACCAGGTTAGTTTCACACTTTCAGCTCACGGAAGGGCCAGTAATAAGTTATGGCATGTTTGTAAAAGGTTTTTACTCCATTAGCATTTCTGTAAACTTTTTAATGTTGCCAGTTATTTTTCTTTTTTACATTTATTTACACGCTGCATACAAACTATTGCCAAGGATGCTGTCAAACTACAAATTCCAGCTCCAAGTCAGTCAAACCAGGCACAACCTCCACTCTGACAGAATCAGTTAGTCCTCTAAGGATAAATAAGATCAAATCAATGCTGAGTCACTATTCTTTAAAATTACACATACAGTAGAAGCCCTTTTTCAGTCTGACATGCTGACGAGCATTGCAATGGATAGGATTTGGGGAGGTTTCCACCTTGTTATGGACGAACTCTTCTGATCTTCTTCTTCTCTCCTTTTTTTTTTAGGTATTTCTATATCATGGCTATAATAAAAAGCACTTGGTTAGACTGAGCTCATTAGACAGAGACAGCATTACTGGCTGTGATGCCCTGAAATAGGAAATAAGTAGTAGTAGTACCTCTCTGTGCAGACTTAAAGGGGAAGAATGAAGAAAAAAAAGATTCATGAGTTCATCCTTTGCTTTAGACAGACAAAATTAGGGCCACACAATCAATCCAATTGTAATCTTGATCACAGTTCTGTCTTCCCACCATTCAATGAGCGTGACTGAGCAATATTATCAGCGCTCAACACGTACCAATCACAGATGTTCCCTGCACCACGTCGCTTGAAGTTACCTGGACTAGTCTGGACGAGTAGCAGTGCACGAAAACAGATAAACAACAGGGAAAAAACCTCAAACGTCCAGCAGGCCGTTTTCTGGAAATCCTTTTGGGTTTAGCAAAAGTGATGTTTACTAGGAAGAAATCACATGCACAGAGCGCTGTGTGTCTGCCCCATAAAGAAACACAACAAACTTATTGAAGCGCCTGAGAAGCCACCACAAACTGCAGCGTTTAATGCATAGAATTAAAACCAAGAAAAACAACGTATTGCTGCTGCTAACATAAATCGTATAGCATCAGTTCAGATGTCTGTGAAAGGCAACCGCAACGATGTGTCAACATATCCAGCTCACGGAGATGCACTGAAATCACCAAATGTCTGACTTTGGCCATAGATGTGTGTCCACTAAACACAGTCAGTAACGACTGTTTCCAGAAAATGATCAAGATACTGGACAAAAGTTACATTACCCCCTCGTGCAATTATTTCAAAGTGGTAATAAATGCACTGTATGCAAAAGTTTAATTCACATCCATCATATAGTAACAATGAATGTAGTGCAAGACTTTAAATTATTTGTCAGTAAAGACATTTTAAAGAATACTAAAGCACAGTTTATGAATGTAGTACAATGTAAAGATGATGTTAATAGAATTTGATTCTATGCACTTTTTTATATATATATTTTTATATATTACTTATACATTATAATGTTGGTTGCTTAGCAAGACATAATCTTAAAGGGCTAAAGAGCTATATTAACCTACAAGCTAAACTAAGCTAATCCCTTTCTAACGTCACATTAAAGTGTACACACAAGCTAAAAAATGTCTGCATTACTCAAAGTGTCCAGTGAACATGCTATCAAGTTTGACTTTGGATGGTCAAAGTCAGAATGTGGAGACCGAACACCTTTAGCCTGCTAGGATGAGGTCAAGCTGTCACCTTCAATCAACATCAGAAAGCGAAAGTGGTAAAGCTAAAACCAGTTGGAATCATAGATCCAGTTTGTGTCAATTACACCAGCGGCCTCTCCGCTGGTTCACAGGGTTACATATCTGTCAATTCATTATGTAACGGCAAAGCGACACTATTAGGCATTGATCGCAAAAGTTTATTTCCTTTGAGATGGAACATCTGCTCAGATGGATTTCATGATTGGTCATTCTGTCACTGCAGCCAGAGTTAGTTAGGCCGCTGAGTGTGACGGCGGAAGCAGACAGGAAGTTCAGAGTGCCATTTAGATGAACAGGAGTGTCACAGGAGAGAAGGACAGTGGCGGCGAAGGCTGCCGGGGGGAGGAGATGGGGGTTAGGTGGGGGTGCATGTGCCACGCTGACACCTGGTGCTCCAGATGACAGCTCTGTAGCCAGATGGACCTTGTTACATGTGTACACATACGCAAAAATGCCCACACATGTATGCTTACATGCATACTGTACACATATTCACAATTACTTCCACTCTGCCTCCACACACACCATTTTATTTGCATTTCCTGGCAGTTAAACAGAGGAACACACAAGGCAGTTTTATATGGGATCAAATCCAAAGTGCTTTAGTAAAGGGAACTACATTAAGTCGCATCATTTTAAAATGACATGCTTGTTTTTTAGCCGGTGAATCAGTCTTCCAGTAAAGAAATGTGGACACAGCGCTTGTTAGTTATGGTGAACAGATTAAAGACACCCCATGGCATGAACTTACCCACCGCACTCTTCACCACCTGTCATTTTCCTGCTTGTGGAGCCATCACCCCACCAAAAAGCCTCCCTGTACTATCCACATTAAAGGGCAAGGACATTCAGGTATGAATCTCATTTGTGCCTTCCAGTGTGATTCTCAGATTTGTTTGTAAAGTTTAAAAGTCTTTGTGGCAACTTTTACAAAGCTTTTGGGATTTTCCCTGCTAACTTCCCAGCTACAAATCTTAAAGCCAATAATTACAACTGTGTGGCTCATATTTCTTTACCTTTACAGATAATGAATGGTAAATGCATCCAAATAGCTTTTTAGTGACCTTTTGCATCAGACCTTTTGCATCAGAAGGGCCTCCTAAAGCAATGGCACATCATAACAAACACTGTCTTACCTCCAGAGCAGCAGAGGGCTTCTTTTTCAGTTCCTCACATTTGCGAAACTTGCAGATCTGGTGGCCCGTTTTTCGATTCCGGCAGCTGCTGCACTGCTCACAATTAATCCGCCGTCGGCAAGGTGGGCACATCCCACAACGTTTTCGCTTCTTTTTACCGGAGTTGATAGCAGAGGCCAGCTCGCTCTGCACTGGGTACTCGGCCAGGCCGGCCATGTGCAGCGCGCTGTCCGCCAGAAACACTCCAGCCGGCGTCATGATGAAAAGCCCCGGGTTGAAGGGGAAGCCACCCCCTACTCCATATGGGAAGTCAACAGGACCACCTACGGCGTCCGTGACAGACGTACCCTCCAAATCGCTAGCCCCCGAGCCTGCGTCTCCACCGCCAACTCCCACTCCCATTCCCCCAGGCAGGAGCATGTGCTCCATACCGGCTCGCTTTAACAGTGCTGCTGCCTGGGCAAAGTGCAGCAGGCCATTCTGTCCTTCCAGAACCTGTTCTAGGGTTCGGTCCAACTTGGCTGCTGTCAGTGCAGAGACAGTGGGTTGGGGCTGCGGGGTGGGCTGAGGCTTGGCCGGGTGGCTCTTAGTCTCACTATTGTCTGTGTGTCCATTGGTGGTGGCAGAGGAGACCGCTGTATACTGGGAGAGGGTGCGGGAGTTCTTAAGGCTCTTACTGAGGGGCTCACTGATGATGCCACTGCGGTTTCGGCGCTCTATAACAGGAGAGTCCTGTTTGCAGCTACTCCGCTCCAGGTCCTCTGTCTGGCCACCCTCCGATAGCCCGCTAGACATGGTCCAGAACGTATGTGCCTGGGTTGGGGGTGAGGGTGGAAAGGGGGCAGGGGTGAGTAAGGAGGGACCTTTCCTCGGTCCGTTCTGTGCCCCAGTGAGAGCGGTACCTCACCTCGATGGAGCAGTCAGCCAGGCGACGACAGGCAGGCCTCGAAGCCCTCTGTCCCCACTACTGCTCAGCCCTCATCCACGCTCTTCCATGAGCCATCTGGAAACTTTAGACAGGGAGAGAAATGTGTACATTATGCATTGATGATCACTTCTCCGAAACACAAATCAACTCAAAAGTACAAAGAACCAGTGTGTTGGGAGGGAAACAATATTGACATAACAGCACCTTACACTTCATTTCATATCAACTGTTTCTTTTTCACTGTAAGACTTCAGTTCATTTGATCAATCACCGCGCTTTTCCTTTTGTCTGATTTGCATCTCTTCAAATCCTAGATGTTGCACTGTTCACCAGCTAGAAGCTAAATGTGTTTCTCAGTACTGCACTGGGAGTGCACAGAGAATTTCTGCTTTAAAAGACAAAAAAACCCAGCTTCCTTGTGTGGACGAAATGATGTTAACAGAAACCAAAACGGCGGCACTGCAGGCCACACAGCAGAGAAATGAGATGAAACTCAGCATAAAGCTCCTTAAGGAGAACAACAGATTTGAGTGGCTCTTCTCGTTCAGGCTTACTCGTGAACACTTTTAGATTCTTCTGCTCTTTTCACGTTACAATTTTATATTTAATCATTTGTGCTTTTATTAAAAAATGTTATTGTTACGTTAAAGACATCAGGTTCACACGAGATCATGTGAAGATCAATAAATTAGAAAATTAACAAACCTCACATCCTGTTCCAGGCCTCGCAAAACATGATAAAAATGCACAAAATTTAACAGGAAAAATTATTTTATTAATGTTGTATAGTGTAATATTGTGCAAATAATTGAATTAATTATTGAAATGTGAACTATTTGTGTTGGTCTTCCAATACTTCTGCTGCTTTGATGCATAGTAATTAGCTTATGAGACAATAAATAACACTTCTAATAATATATAAATAAATGAATACCTGCAGGGATTAAAACTCGGATGAAAAGAGCCAACTCATTTTTAGTTGAGGCAGAAAAAAAGAAAGAAATCACCCATCGAGAGGGACCAAAATTTTGTCTCAGTAAATCAGCTTTAATTCTGATTCTTTTCTTAACAAACTACAAAAATCAAACCTCGCCGTTTTGGGCTGGTGAAGAAACACCGGCTCCCCTGGAGATTCTCTGATTGGTTAGCGACAAAAAGAAATTACAAGGTAGGGAGCCAAATCTTATTGTTATCTCATTATTGTCCAATTAACTTGTGCTAAGAACAGAAATTTCTTTGGTAAACAACACAAATTGCAACTCAAAGGTTCATTATACCTTCTTGTTTTTTCATTCTCACCTTAAATACTCTGAAGACCTTTGAAAATACATGAAAATATACTCAGAATCATCATGTCGTCATCATTGCCTACAGTGGAACGGTGCTCAGGTGAAGTCGACTTGTTGATCTGCATTGGGTGCAACACGGTTGTGACTTCTGTCAAATTATTTTATACTTCTCTGTGATTGTTGTCTTTCCAGAATTGATCATTACCTTTGTTATGTAAGTACAGGTGTGTTTAAAGACCAATCTGGCAGTGAAAGTCAAATAGCATGTATTGACCCAATTGCAGTTTAGTCATTTAAGAAAAGACTGGATTTATTGAAAGTTACAGCAATTTGGTACAAAATATGGGAGAAAATAAATATCTGTGTTATTAGACTTTCTCACACAGCTCAATATCAGGTGTTTCTGCTGATAAAAAAAATACGCCAGAAGTCCAGGCTTCTCTCATGACCGTCCTTTTCATCGGAGCATCCCTTCATTTTTGGGGGTTTTTTTTGTTGTTAAAGACCAAAACTGTGGGGCAGTAAAATTTGGCAAAGTGTTATTATCAAACGGGCAGGTAAGAGATATGAGGAGGGTCACTCACAGCAGACTACAAAGTGGATGAGTACACATGCATCTAGAAGCTTTTAGTGTAAGACTCCTGTGACTGCTATGAAAAGAGAAAAAAAACTACGCCGCTGTTCTCCTGACCTGTCCGTGTTCACAAACAAGCACACCACCTCCCACAGAAAAGCTGAGGAAATGGCCGGGCAAGTCCTTATAAGGGAAACAAAGGGAAAGGGAGGGGAAGAGGATTGGGGGGGGTGTCTGTGCAGTGTGTGGAAACTGGAAGGCCAGAATTAGTGGGAGGTAAAGCTTCAAAGGCAAGAGCACAGCCCCCACATTCTCACCAGCTCAGGGGGATGTGGCGCCAGCGAACCAGAGCCAGCGCCGCAGCCCCTCAGCCCCATAGTTTCAGTTTCGCCCACTACAGCACTGACCGGGGTCCAGTTTCCCAGAAGCATCCCCTCACTGCCGCTACCTCTGCTCAGCTGTGTGCGAACAGCACATGAACTCATCAGAGTAGTGCATGGGAGGTTTGTGGCTTTCATGAAATAATGGCACTGAAGAGCTATGATAGAGGTCAGTTGTGACTCTTCAGCGAGAACTTAAACGCACGATCCCGAATTAAATATGAACAGCTTATTGTAAAACTGAAGAGTTTCCTGGTTAATCAGGGCTGATCTATTTCAACAGTGCTCTAAATACAGTAAATATGCTAAACGACTTGAGTATCCCACATAATTAATGAACTGGCTCATTTTCAATTGCTGGAATAAATGAGTCCTCAAGCTGAAAATCATTACGCATGAAAATGGCTTCTGATCACTCGTGATGCAACCCAACCAGAACACCAGCTCCAGTAACTGGCCTGTCAATGATACCATTAGTTTGTTGTTTTTTTAAGAAAAGGGAAGTCTTTCAGATAACACATTGGCTGTTTCAAACAGGAGCTCAGTTGTAATAAATATACCACAATTCCTTTCATGAGTACTTCTGACTTGCTTTGCTTAGCACCCCTATCCCCCAACACCCACATACAGTATGTTGATGCTAGAGTCTCAGTAAGCTACTTTCAGCTCCTCCTTTATCACAAGGTGTCACTCTACATATTTGATTTGCCAGATTTTTTATGCTGGACGTCCTTCCCGATTCAACCTCCAAGGGATTTGTGTCTCCTCCAGGGATCTTTTACATTTTATGTGAATGTGTAGACCACTACACTACAGAGCCGCCTTTCAGGAAACGGCTAACGATATTTAATAAGAGGGATTCGTAGGTAAGCATAAGTTGTTTTTGTACTCTAGCTCAAATATCACTTTGACAAGCGTGGCTTTGAGCTAAATCGTCTCCCTCGATGAAGCATGGTTAAAACCACAATTCTAGCTCTGGGTGATGCAAACTTTTGGTATGTCTATGGAAGAATAATCAGTAAAATATGAGTTAAATTATTATAATGGACAACAGCTGTCCTAAGATTTGCAACACAGGAATCAATTATTCAACTAATTTTTAACCGATTCGGATATGATGGCGTGCAATGGCAAAAAAAAGAGAAAAAAAATCGATGACGTTAAGGAAACCAACCCGAAATGACAAACACATGTATGTAGATTTATATTTCACATGTTTAAAGGATGTGTGTTGCCCACCGAGGCACATTTATTACTTTGGTCAACCACATTATCTAAGAAATGACAGCAAGGGCACCTATCTAAAGACTCACACTCATTCTCCTCTGCTGTGTGTGCGTGTGTATGTGTGTGTCTATATGTGTACACATCTGCCTTCCATCTCACTGCCCTATCAGTCACACTCTTTCCATCACCATAAACCCTGAGCATGGCATATAGTCTTTGGCTAATCATCCTCCTCCACTTCCAGCATCATGGCTCTTCAGATCCCCTCACCGCATCATTTACAGAAAAGGTTTATGTCCTCATGTGAACTGTCTGCTGAGCCACAGCTGCATCTTCTACTGAGTAACTATGATACAGCTCAACTTCCTGTGATTTTATTGGCCTGTTGCTGTGATTTACATAATGGACGGCTAGTAGGAATAACCCCTGTTTTTCTTTTCTAAACGAACACATTTCTGGCACGTTTCAAGCCTGTTTCCAGAACAAAATGACCGGGTGTGCGTCAGAAGTTAGTAAAGCTGATCTCTGACTATACAGCTTAGTAGGGATAACCTCCTCTAATGAACATCAAACCACAGATTTATTGATATATACTAAGGTCAAATGTTATCTTTAAGGGGGAATGAATTAAAACTTTACACCAGAAGTTTCTGTGACTTGGCATGACCCCTACAACTGGTAGGGTAACTGGTGGTAACATATTAACGCCAGAATGAGTCTTACTCCTCCTTTCCAGCTCCTTCAGAATAAAAAAGAGGAGTAAAATGTGGCTTGTCGTCTTCTCGAGTCGCTCTCTTTCTCCTTTTTGTTGTTAATCTATCTTCACGCGACATTCTGCACAGGAATTACGGATAAAGGTGTGAATAAAAATGATCAATAAGGTCCGACAACTACCGGTGTCGCCCCTTTCAGATTAACAGGACAAGCCTCACTGTACATCAGTGTGTTTTTGAGCTGGTTTTGATACACCCTCACTGTTATAGTCAAAACCGAATCACCTTTTTAAGCTCTTCTTGCACAACTGGGGAAGCATACATGAGTGTAGAATAAATTTTGGTTTCAGTGGTCGGTAAATCATTTAGTGCAGCTGACAAAATATTTACTAGCCAGTAAAGGTACGACACGGGGCGCTTAATGTGATTATAAAGGTTGCTGTTTAATCAGAAAAGACGGCAAAAATCTGGACATTAATTAGAGCCATGTGCACGCTTCGTCATCATCGGCCGATCCAGTCTACTGATTTGAACTCTATACTTTTATACTGTAATAAACATGACAGTGTGATACAAAGAGAAGCTGTTGTGCACTGTCACACAGGGCGTCATGTAAAGATGATTTTTTTCTTAATCCAGATATTCCTGATTAACAATCTTCATTAAATTCACAGCTCAGTATCAGTGACCTTAGATTCACAGTCAAACTAAACATGTTCCAGATCAACTGTATTTCTTGCTGAGAAATAGCTAAAAATATCCCTCATGGTTGGGTAATTATGAACCTAGGGCAAGGAAATTATTAGCTTAGCATAATGACTGGAAACAGTGGGCAACTTAGTCCAAAGGTTCAAAAAGTGACCTACTTGCACCTTAAGCTGATGACTTAAAATATTAGTTCTTTTCAAAAAAAAAAGTGGATGTTATCTACCAGGATGATTTTCTAACCAAGAAATAATAAAGATCAATAACATAGGTTCCTTCTCATCAGTGTGTGTGTGTGTGTGTGTGTGTGTGTGTGTGTGTGTGTGAATGATATCAGTCTTCCCATAACTCTTGGCAAGAAAGCAAACAAGTACATTTCTGGAAATGTCAAACTTTTTTTTTCTTCTAGGCCACACATGGTCAGTACAATCCAATCTTACCTGAGGCAAAGCTGCCCATAACACTGTGTCAAAGCGTTGTAAAAGCCATTCAAAAGCCCACATGATGTCAGGTGTATGACTGATCAGCAAAAATCTGGTGCACACAAACCAAGTGGAGTTTTTCAGGTTCTTTTGGAACCTCAAAAAAAAACTTTCAGGCTTGAAAATCATTTGTGAATGAAGTAGCACTTTAACAGCGCCATAAAAAAGGGAAGACTAGTTGTCAGCACTGCTGTATGAACATAAACAGCTCATTTAACATTCAGATGCTGCTCTCAGCTTGTTACAGCTTAAAACCTGACTGGCTTGTCACCTCAAAGACACAATTTTAAACTGTTTTTCTTCTCCGATTACACACCAGCTGTTGCGAGAGGATCCGTGTATATAAATGAAAGCCGGCCCACAAAACAGTGACAGCCAGCTGACTGATGGATGAATGGTTGGCTGGTTCAGTCATTGACCAGTTGGATCAATGGGTGATGGGGGAAAGGAAGAGAGCATTTAGGGCCAGTGTGCGTCTCTCTTTTCCACTATTTCTGGAGCTGCGCCGTGAAATTATCCAGGTGTGAATCTCTACGGCACTTTGCGTCATCCAGTGATCATCCCTGATTTACACATTTAAAAACTGAAGTGAAAAAACAACTAACCTGGAAAAAAAATCACAAAAAGATGACAAAACGAAGCTGTGTGACACTTTCAGGTGCACACGTCCGTGTGTAAATCACGGGATCTGAAGTGGGCTAACTCCTAGGTAAGTTTCCGTCACTGACGTCACTGCTTGCGCACGTGTCAGGTAATCGCGGTGAGCTTTTTGACAGAGGTGGGGGGGGGGGGTGATTTCCTGCATGGTTATGAATCATTTGGTCCATCCACGAACTCCGGAGCAGCTGACTACACCTCCAGACCTCCAGAGAGAAAGCTTAATGCGTTCAAGCGATGCGCGACGCAAATGCACTCCCTCCCTCCCTTACCTCCCCTTTCAGACGCGCTGTCTGCGGACTCTTTATTTGTCCACGGTGAGCTACACACTCTATTTCCCCTACCTCCTATCGACTGACGCGCGCACACGGGCGCACACGCACAAAAAGGCAGGGGGAGTTAGAAAAGCCTGGTGACAATAATTAGACTCAAGGCTTCATCCATTGTCCACAACCTGCTGCGTTTCTATTCTCCCTAATTAGGCAATGCACACAAAAGTTAGAGGAGAAAAACAACCACGCCGCGCACACTGTGACTTCAAATTATTCGCCAGCATATGGAGGACTTGGAGCTGCGATATCATCGGTGGCGGATTGCAGGCGGTGAGGAAGAGAGGAGGAGGGGGGTTGACTGTAAAATCTGCAGCTAGCTCGAGAAACGCTGCCGGGGAACTTTCTAATGATGCCCGGAGAAGAAGGGGGGGGGGGGGGGGTTAAGAGATATAAGAATAGTATATGTTTAAAAAAGAAACAATAGTCTCTTCAGGTCTCAGTGAGAAACTGTGATATTCGTTTTGCGGTTAATGGTTTGAGGTGACTGCTGAATAAAAGTTTCAGTCATAAACTGACAGTCTGATGTCAAATATAAGCGTGACCTGAGTCCAGGCATTTCTTTCATTAAGTGTAAACGTCAAGTTTGGCGCGCATCATTAACAGCTGATTCACAATAAACCAGCGGACTTTTTGTTCCGGTGGTGTGGCGATCCGTATCGGCGCTGAGGGCGACTTGTTAAATAAAGACAAATGATGAATCCTGTTGACATTGGCTTCTGGGAGAAGCTTGTAAAACATTTCCTTCAACCTATCACATTAAACTCATCAGCTTTTTTCCCTTCATCATTTAATCACTAAACAGATCCAAACAACTGGCTTCTTCCCGGACTCTGTTTGAGCACAGTAGCCTATCTGCGGTACCAGCATATGCTCTGCAGTCACACAGAAGCTCCCAGGTTCACCCTGCTATAACTTGATCCTATGCAAAGATGACATCCCAACTTTCAGCACACTTCAACAAAGTGTGATTCCCCCCTCCATCCAACCCCTCCTCCCTCCTTTTCTATGTATCTGCATATTTGCAAACACGGGCCCATTTTATTCGCACCTACCAAAGCAGATCCGAGCAGAGGGGAGGGCTCCCACAGTCCGAGCGGTCCGTCTCTCAGCCTGCCGTGCAGAATGGTGACAAAAAAAAAAAAGAAGAGGGCAGGGGGAGGCAAAAAAGCTTCTTCTCCGAGAACACAATCCTACAGAGTGCCTCTCTGTTAATGGTAAATGTGAAAAGAAAAAAAAATATTCACCGTCAGTTATTTCGGAAAAGCGTACTTTCTCAGAGGCTGAACGCGTGGGTTCCCAGAGCTTTCTCGGTCCTTGCAATCCCACCTCTACATCCCCGCTTGCGGAGAGGAACATGCAAACACATTTCATAGATTTTTGGAGCTTCGCGGAAAAACCGACCTGGACTTTTCGGCGGTGCGCGCACTTCAGCCGAAGCAACAACAAAACGAAAGCGAGGGTTTGGTGTGATTTCAGGACAACTGTGGAGCGAGAGCTGTGTCAAAAATAAATAAACACAGCTGACAGCACCAATCTACGCGACTGATTACTTGCTGTGTTTATCCTGTCTTCAGATACTCGGTATTGGCTATGATAGTAGTATTCGACATGATAACAATTATTATTTGCTTTTTGCCCAAACAGCAGAGACACGTGGGCTTAATTGTGTGATTTAAAGAGTGATCTCCGTTATCACGAAGGATCCGGGGTAGCTGAGAATAAACGGGGTTAACCTCAGTTCACCAGTGTGTTTATTTGGAGCACAGAGGTTGTGCAGAAATGACGCTGACATAAATCAGTCTCATCCCCGTTGCTCTTCCTTTCCCTCAGCTCCAGAGTCCAGTCCGCCTTTTTCGACTGTCCTGTCTGCTGGCAGGCGGCCAACCCAAGTGTGTGGAAATGACACCGCCAGGGCGGCAGAGATTTTCCTTCATTTCTCTCCTTCCCGATCGCAGACTGGCTGACATTGGCTAGAAAGTGGAGCAGCTCGTCAGGGACAATCAATGCGAATCGATCGAGCTTTGCGGTTGAGGCTCCAGAGCTGGAAAATATCGCGGCAGCTGAGGAGAGGGAGAGGGAGGGAGGGAGAGGAGAGGAGGGGGTATTCGACTAACTCTGCCCGTAGCCAGCCAACCTTCCTGCAAACAAATAACGCTACGGCTTTCATAAACATGACACTCACTTCGTAAACACTGAAGTCAAAAAGCCGACACATGCGTAATTACGCACGGTCTTTGTGCTCTAAACTCGGTCACAATAAAGGTGTCCACCCACAGGCTAGTCCATATTCTGTGCGTGCGAAAACATTGACAATAAGGACTTTGTTGAAGTTTTTGCGCTTCTTTCCACAGTACTTGCCTCGTGATGAAATGACTCTGACGTGAATACTTCCGAAACACATTTCTCCGAGCAGGAAACATTTGAAATAAAATGCCAGGGAACGATTGGCTCCTTTAAAAAAAGAAAATCTGTTTAAAAGAGCGTCTCACTTTGCATTCTAACTCCTCATAAATTAAATTAAATCCCCTTCAAGAAGTGTTGGGTGACGTGTGCGTGTCTGTGTGTTATTTTGACATTAACAGCTTCTCCACTTCAGCAAAGAAATGTTAATGCAGCGGGGATTCACCCTAATGTGACTTGGGATTAATATAATTAAAGGCATCTTTAGTACATTCCGCTTTTAGTCACTTTCAAAACTACAATGGATCTACTGTGGACACCTGGAAGCGGCACTTAAACACCACATGTAATCATTTTGCCCAGTACTCACCAAATTAATTGGAGACACATTTCAACACACGTTTTCTGGTGACACGGGGATTCAAATATATATAAAATTATACAAATATATATTTACACTACATTGTTTACGTTCTGCCTTTTTACACCTCTTATTGCTTTTGAGTTTAGTCAATGAAAGATTATCCCCTCTTTTGAGCATGAACAATTCATCAAAGCAAGCAACATGGTTCAGATCGAGAACTCAAGGCTGTAGCTATGGTGGCAAAAAAAAAAATTAAAAATCCAGATCTGGGTGTCTATCTTCTCTGAGGCTGCCCAAAAATAAACTGAATATCCACTGTTCCACATGATCATGATTGCACTCACAGTGAATGAAAGTTGGCTTCAATAAACCTGCTTACACTTTGATTAAACACGTGATAGTTATACTGTAGCTACACTCGAGGAATAGACATTAAATTAAAGAGAGGCCGTTGCTCTCTTCATAAATTATGGTGTTTGTGTATACAGCATTAATGACTTTTTACTCAGACATGTGTTTTTTATGACTAACAAAATGTAATGCAGATATAAATGTTAGATGAATATACATGTGAGCACGTGAACGTGTGGCTAATTAACTTTCCAGATAACTTAGCTATGATATGGTTCATAAATGTCCACATTTGCAGTTCCATTTTAAAACAACTGATTAGAGTTTCACTTTTCTACATTTTCTGCATTCAGGGTTTCAGACTATGTCACCGCTATTCTACATTCACGTAGGATAAAATGAAGCGACCGTGTTCTTTGACTCTTTTGTAGCAGACGTCCTTCCCTTTTAACCTTCTAAAGTCCTCTATTTGTGTCCGGAAAAGGCTGGAACGTTACACGACAGCCTGCAATCATACGTGCTTTTCCCGGGTTGAAAAGAGGATCAAAGAGAGAAACCATGGCTTAGGAGAGTCATGCATGGATAGATGGGTAGGAGTGAGCAGCAAGCTGTGACTCTTGGACATGTTCTGGTGGGTGCACTGAACCCCGGAGGCTGCAGCCACACTCAGCCCTTTGTTGTTTTCACTCTGCACAGGGAGGCCGGGTACTTTCCTGAGCTGGGGTGGAGGATTAGCGTTGCATGGCCTCCATCTCCAGCTGCACACATGACCAGCGTTGTAGGAAAGCCCCCAGTGATGGCCCAGAAAGAGGTACGTAAGTGATGACGGGAGCAAGCAAAGCATGAACATCAGCTTTTTCCAATTACAAGCCCTGTAAACTGCCTAAATAATCATTGTAACACTCTTCGCACATGCCACTTATGGTATTTCTGAAAGACTGGCTTCGTGTCAAGTGTCTCTCCCATGTTACCACATACAAGTTTTTCTTTTTTCTCTCAAATATGGATTCTTTAACCTCTCACCTATATCCACATCAATACATGTAATCATGCCACCTAATAATCGCAGTTCACATTAGTCGTAAAAGCACACTTTTATGTCTCCATGGGACCCACTGGAAACAAAGCTCTCTCATACTGACTGGTCTTTGGTGCCAGGTGACGTCACTTAAAATACCACAGATCATCTGTCACCAGAACTAACCAGTTGTTAGAGCGGAGTGTTCCAATAGCTCTTTCTTTTCCCTTGCCAGGAAGGGGAAATGCTTTGAATTATTGTTTTTTTCCAGTTGTTTGGTTTTTCTCACACATGCAAGCAGCTTTAAAATGTCACAGACTACTTTATCTATTTAGTAAAAACTCCTGTGTGTCAATTGCAGTCTGCCCCTTATCTCTATGCGCTAGCTTCAACAGGCCTGGAGTCCTATCAGAGACTCCAAGAAGTCACTACAGCCATGGTGACAAGCAGTTCTCGCTGCCAACTCTTCTTGTTGTTTATCAGTTACAAATGTTTAATTAGCGAGTCGCGGCGATGCACGTTGGCATATTTTGGGGGCTCGGAGAAAGACAGGTTGGTGGTTTCCCTCTTTCTTCTTGCTCCCGATCGTCGTGTTGAACTAAACTAAGTGCCTTCGGGCTCTGGCTCAAGAGCTGACGCACAAAACAACTCTTGAGCCAGAGCCTGTGGTGTCAACATACTCATGTAATTCATGGTTAAAAAAAAAAAAACCCTAGTGACTATTGGTCAGAGATTTTTTAAGGTACTCCTAAGGCATAATTAAACATTTTTATTTATAGTGGTACTGTGGTTTTAGGAAATGGAAGTGAGGAAGTTTAGCCAAATTCAAGGCTAGTTTTTGGAGCATTACATATGGATGACACAGCTTTTCTATCAGAAATAAAACAACATGTATATGTATGTATATATTTACATAAGTATTTCTTTAAACTATTTGGGATGACACTGAGAGAGACAGAGACAGCGGAATCAGCATTTTATTAAACTTGGGAATCAATAGTATTTATGAAGCAAGGGAAGTTTATGATCTGTATGAGTCACATGCAGCATGGCTTGTGATTCGATGAACTGTCTGTGTGGTGACATGACCAAAGATGCTTAAACTCCAGCAACATTTGTAGTACACTGAAAACTTTATTGTACTTTTAGAATATATAATGTCTGAGATGTTGATAAATAGACCCCCTTTTGGTAATTCCCCCTTCTCCTCCCTGCATTTTGATAGTAGTGCCAGAAAGCCCTAGTGATGTGATTGCGAGAAAATGACTTAAGTGATGTGGGAGCTTACAGCTGGATAAACTCCAGGACATAATGCAGCTCCTTTCACTCTACCGTTTTCTCCTACTGTTGTGCCAGGACAAGCACGCCAGTAAAAATAATATTTAGGTTCTGCACGTCCAAGGATATGTCATTACAAGACGTGTAATGTTTTTAGGCAGTAAATCGGGATTGGCATTAAGTTTCTGAAAAAATATTTTTCATTTTGGTGTTTTTTTTATTTGTTCGTTTTTTGTGTTTAAGTGAAGCAAAAACAGGAACATTGGCAGAAAACCGTCTCCACTCTGTTTTTTTCTGTCCTGGTAATAATGACAACTCCAAGGACATACCATGTGCAAATCCAACATGCAGTGGACCGACTTTTGAAAAAATAATTCAGTTTCTAATGTGGTGTGGATTTTGTGTGAAGTGTTTTCCTGTCCCACTGAATAGGCCTAAATCAGTCACACCTTGTGTGAGCCTGACAGCTGCAAAGGCTTTCTGCCTGATGAGCAACACTTGTTCCATTTCTAGAGATTTATTACTCATCCTGCCACTCATCACATGTTCTGCCTCATCTGTCAGCGAGGAAGTGCCTCTGTTGTCTTGACTGACAGTTTTAGGACAAAAAAGCATGACAAAATCACATCAACAACTGTTTAGCTTGTGCCACTAAATAAGCGGTGTCACTGCCTTCTCAAATTATCACGTCTCATAATGCAAAGCAGCAAATGCTGCCCCTCATGTAACAGTACCAGAGAACCAGCTGTTGCTGCTGCTGCTGCAGTTAAAATAAAGGTTAGAGCTCCATCTAGTGGTAAGTCTTCAAAGTGACGACTGTATAAGCAACCATAAAGTTTCACGTCTAAACCAAATAAAACTTGTCTTGGACAGAGATTGGCATCAACATCCATCCAGCTCAAAATGTTATGAATCAAAATGACATCTGTGAACTCTGTTTCTGTTTCTCCGTTTCACTTGAGATTTCTTTACCTCTCGTGTCCCATGACTTTCTTCCAGTTTGTTTGTTTCATACGATGTGAATCTTTCAAGTTCACCCTCAACCTTTACAGATAGAAATTCAGCAGAATACTTTCAAATATAAACAATTAAAAAAAAATACGTACACCATAATATAAAATATACACTTAACATAGCAGAAGATACATAATGCTGACACTGTCACCATGAATCATGGGACCAACAGATTATACAGCGGCTTGCAAAAGTATTCAGCCCCCTTGAACATTTTGTCACATTACAGCCACAAACATGAATCAATTTTATTGGAATTCCAGGTGAAAGACCGACACAAAGTGGTGCACACGTGAGAAGTGGAATGGAAATCATACATGATTCCAAATATTTTTTACAAATAAATAACTGCAAAGCAATGCTATGAAAAGCACCACACATTTTCATGCTTTTTAAGGCTATATGTGGTCATAACAAGGTTAGTTACAGGTTGCAGTTAACCAAAACTAGTTTAAAAAAACATTTTAGTTAACTACAATAAAAAAAACACGACTTTTGAAATTACTTTAAACTACCTGAAACGATTTTGTAAACTTGGAAAACTACCTAAAATAAAATATACTACAACTAATAAAACAAGAACCACCTCAAGAGTGCCAAGTACCGCTGCCTGGGTAGGGTTTACATTTAACGGAATACTATTGTATTTTGTTTTCTTTGTTCTTTTTAAATGAACTTTGAGATGTTTGTAGTGCATTAGAAACAAATGCAAAGTGTGGGTTTTTCTTATTTGCTCTTTTGAAATTTATTTTAATATGCCTGACATAACTGGCAGAAATAAAATGTAAAAGCGAGGTCAGAGGTCAAAGCTGACATGATATATGATATGTGGCAATGTGATATTTAAAAAGCAGATATCCCAGTGTCACTAAATGTTGCCAATACAAACAAAGGTAGTAGAATTTTAACCATAATTTTAAAGATAAAAGATATTTTAGGAAAGTTTGACCTTATTTGAGCTTGAAGAAAAGGTCAGAGGTCCAAAGTAATGCATCATTATATCATTGATTATATGCCTATATGTTGTTAATTCAAACAAAGGCAGTGAGAAACAAAGGTTTAAATAGCTCCGTATAGCATTATCCCTTTGACCTTCAGCTCAGTCTACTGACCTTGAAAGAGAGGTCAAATGCGACATGTTATTTGAAATCTTTATACTAATATATTTACCCTTTTTTTAAAAGTCATAAGGCTTTTTGTCACTTTTCAACCACTAAATCATTAAGTAGACCTTGAAGACCTTGGTGGATGCATACATTTCATGTTTACAGACAGAGTGACAGGCACACATGCAAACGCCACCAAAAACATAATCCATCTTAGAGGTAATAAAGCAAAAAATGTAGAGGAAACATCCTTAGGTTTAGTATTTGTTAATTTATTAAAACTAATCAAATCAGAACTTGACTGAAGAGGCGTTGATCTCTGTGTATATTGACACTTTAAATGCTTACAAGATTGTGAGTCAGCTGCTTTGAAAAAATTCTGTTTTCCTTTCTTTCTTTCTTTCTTTCTTTCTTTCTTTCTTTCTTTCTTTCTTTCTTTCTTTCTTTTTTACTTGTACTGATTTTTCTAAATACACTAACACTTAAAAAGCTAAAACTGGAACTGGAACTAAATTAAAATTAAACTGAAAACTAAAAGTCAAAAGTAAAACTGATTAGAAAAAACAAAACTAGAATCATAGTAATCCTGATATGAAGCAGTCTAATTTCTGCCAAAATTGTTCACAAGCCTCTTTGACTCATTGGAGTGTTTGGATTTGAGTTCTAATTAGTTTGTGCAGTGTAGCCAAACAATAACATGAAAACGTATCACTTTCTTTGTGGACCTCACACATCATAATAATCTGTGAATTGTGGACTGTGAGCTGGATAAGCCAGGACTAACAACAGTCTATTAAATAGTACCATTATTATGAGAAGAAACCATAACTCAGAATCTAAAGAGAGACGACCCTCACTTTGTCACAGATTCACAAGACAGGACAAAATTCCAGATCAGGTGAACTAAAGAGAAAGTGGGTCTTTTATCTGACTGTTGCAAAAATCCAGAGAAGTACAAAGTCCAAAAAAGAAAAAGGTGAAACAAAACAGGAAACTAAAACAGGAGCAAAGAGAACGCTGGGAGACACGTGAAGTGCAAACAGATACTCGGACAAAGACACAGATAAGATTATATGCACACAGAGCTGATGGCCCAGTGAGGCACGGGCTGGAAGAGGGCACAGGGGGTAAATATTTAAGACAGGGCAAACAACTCACACAGGAGAAACTATAATACAGGATGGAAACTATCAGAGATGTAGTAGAAAGACAGAGACAGCACATAACGAGAAACCAAGGTGAACCAGGAAGAAACAGCACGAACTTCAACATCAACAATGAAATAAATCACTGAATTGGTCTCGCAGAGACCCAACACAATGGATTGAACTAAAGGAATAATCCTCATTCACTCAAGTGAAATCCTTCACTTGATTTCCTATAAAGAAATTAAGTAACATTTATTTTTAATCACACTATAGTGATCGTATAGCGTATGCTTGTTTGCACATTCCCTATCAGATTGCTTGCTGACAAGTAAAGTAAAAATGATGCCTCTTTCCATCTTTGATTTGCTTTTTGTTTGTTTGGGGGTTGTTGTTGTTTTTGCTTTTTGCTATATTATCAGATTCATTGTGATACAATTTAGTATGTCATTTATAAATGCATTTATAAGTGTTTATTCTTGATTAATAAGCTTCTATATAATGTGCTCATGGTAACATTTCGAAAGTCTGAGTAGGTGATTAACAAACTATTTAGATCTACATTTATATACATATAATGATTAAGATATGAGATTTGTTTCTAAGCTCAGTGCATCTCTTTCTCTTAAACCCCTCTTACAAACTCGGACTCTGGTCCTACCTAGATTTCAGTAATGTGCAAACCTCCGGTGGCAATAAATGTTTGAGTGTTGTGTATCTCTCTGTGCTTTGGGTGAGTCGGTTTTCTGTTGTGAAGATAGCTGAGACTTGCTCGAGTCTTGGGGTACTTTCATTTTCATTTTTAAATACTGTAAAAGGCAAAAATACTCCTAACTTTAAATGAGGTCACACAAAAATACTTAACAACTAGTAACTGCCTGAATTAACCATGAATTAAAATGTGAAATAAGTATTTATAAAACCTTTATTAACTCACTCACAAACAATTAGTTGATCAATCAAGAACAAAAATATTTATATTTATAAATTACATGCATGCTAATGTACATGCTAATGTGCGCCATAAATGATGCACTTACCCGTGTTAAGTGTTACCAAACTAGAAAATTATTTTAACTCGATTTTTTTTTTTAACTCTAACTGTTCTGGCTACAGTTTGTGCAGAGTTAAATGTGGAACTAGACTAAATTGCGAGATTAGATGAAAATACAGAACCATTATATGTGTCATGGTTGACAGTAAGAGTGTGGTGATGTGGGGAAAGCAACAACACACTTGACCTTGCAGTCTGGTATTTTCATGTGAAGAGTTCATATTTATAAATTGATGATTTTTTTCTTAAAAACTGAACTACAATTCGTAATAAGGAAATGAGTCTGAGCATCAGACGACTAGTATTAAATAGCATTCATTTTAAAGTGCGCAAATTGTAATCACCATACAACGCGTTAATTTACCTTCCCTGTGTCCAAACGTGATTATCTCATCATTAGGATCCACAGTTAACCATATTAAACATTTTCCTTGAAAGATCCGTGGACTAAGTTGCTACTTTGATTGCTTACTTTGCATAAAACCTGATGGTTTGTCGCCACCAAGTGAAAAGTCTCCGTCAACATACGTACCCGACTGCTGCTTTTGGCGCACACGTGTGCCCGCTGCGGGAATCAAACCGAGCCCGTCTGATTGTGATGAACGTCTAACACGTTTAAGCCGAGGTCCACGCGCTGTCATTATCAGGCGTACAAATTTCGAGAATACCGAAACATGGCGCGTAGTGCGTGCGTGGGGGCAACCCCGTCTCAGCCTCCATCTGATGGCAGCATCAGGCAGTCCCGTGAAACATTTGCGTGGGAGTTCCCTTCACCGCCATGTCGGGATAGTGCACGTCTCTCTCTCACTCTCTCTCTCACTCCCTCTCTCTCCGCGCATCCTCCCCCACATTAACAGCTTAGGACAGCAGAAGCAGCTCCTACAGCATCCAGCACCCAGCATCCATCCCTGCCTGGGGAGCAGCAGTCCTACCCGGCGCAGCACCGACGCACGGAGGGGGCGCATCATCTAAGTGATGCCACAGCATCAGCCGCATTTCGACAACAAATACTGAGAGTACATCCTAAAGGAGAGGGAGCAGGAGGAAACAGAAGATAATAAAAAAAAAGCTTCAGCCTCGAAGACAGCAACTGCCCATGAAGATGTCTAACGCTGACATCGTCTTAAACGCCACGGATCGGATGGTGAAATGTAAGTTAGCCTATATTTTCTGCGTGCTTATGGCTGTATTACATAACACCTCCGGTGTTTAGCTCTCTGCGGATCGGCAGGACGCGGACTTTATGAACGTGTCGCGCATTAATGGTGCATATGCGGCCATCAAGTTGTGTTCGTGGTGGTGTTGGTAGTGGGCAAGTGAAGCTTTGATGTTGATAAACAATCCGGGTTCCTCTGCTGCACAGCCCCCGCGGAGAGCGAGCCGAGCACACGGGCAGCACCAGGAAATATGAAGTGGAATACATTTTTAATTGTGCCCGCTGATTTATGTTTAATCGTATCTGTCATGATTTGACTGTACGCTTGCTTTCGCTCACGACGGGAGGAGAGGGGGAGTGTGGGGGGAGAAGGAGGAGGAGGAGGAGGAGGAAGGAGGAAAAAACAGCTGAATTGCCGAGCTTGTGGTAGAAGCTGGAGCAGTGATGCAGCAGGATTTCAGGGGCTTAGACGGGGGCCAGCAAAAAGAGGGAGAGGGCATGAAATGGACATTTATTGGGGGGTTTATTTTACCGGGCTCAAGTCAGGGTTTAATTTGATTAGAAAAAAAGGGTGGCGGTGTGTGGGGGGATTCCAAAAGCTGAATCAGTAGATGGATCAATGGAGGATGATAAAGTGCCCACGGATGTCATAACTCACTTAGCCCTGCTCATTTTTCCTCCTCTCTCTTCTTTACAGTGGATCTGCCAACAGTCAGCACTCTGCCTG